ATCTTCTAATTCTTTAATTCTTGTCAACAATTTCCTAACAATACATTCATTAGGAACACATATGACTGTTGAAGCAGTCTGGATTTCAGCTTCTACCACAGAATCTTGGTGTTCATGTATGGAAAGCAACAGTTTAGTCACAACAGATCTGCAGTGGAGGAAAGTAGCATAAGGAAACACGGAAAGGGGAGGTAGTGAATTTAATACATGTGACACTGAATAATAAAGCATCATCCTAAGAATCCTCAGAGGAAGAATATTCCCAGGATTAAAAATTAGGTATTTAAGAATTAAATATATAGAATAAATATAAAATTAATATAACAAATATTAATAAATAATTATATTTATAATAAATATAAAAGTACAAAATTAAATATATAAAAATTAAATAATTAAGAATTTGACAAAAAGAGGATCCACAAGTTGCATAGATTTTACCTGATGTTAGCACTGATGGCTGCCTTCAGATGAATTTTCTGCAGCAAAAAGTTCTACAGATTGGATGTATCAAGTAGAAAAGCTTTTAAATTTCTTTCGATACATAGATTAATGCTTTACTTATACATGTAAATGAACAGATTCACATCTGCAGCTGCTAAGAACCTCCCTCCCCCCCAAAACAAACAAACTAACTATAGCTGATAATTTAAATTATTAGGGGGCTAAAGAGAGTTGGAAATTAGTGTAACCATCCTAATATGAAGAAGCTAGTAAAATGGTATTTATTATTCTACCATCAGTTCGTTCCACAGCCTTTTACTCATGTATTTTATCCTTATCACCTTATCTACAGTAATTGCACTTTGGATTTGTGACATATTTCTGTGTTTTATTATATACAATAAAAGTCAGACTGTAATCATCAGATGATTAGAAAGAACAGCTGCAACCACTACTCAGATGAGCAACCAGAGCCACTCCAAGCACAGGGAGAGAGCAAGTTTAATACATGTTCTTGATGGAAATAAGATTCTTTGCTTTCCCTTTCCTATTTCAGCCTTGCATTGTAATGCTCCAATGTACAACCAACTCACATCATCAGACTTCCCTTCTAGGGCAATTTTAACATCTATGTTCTTGCTGGAAGAAAGCTAAATCTGTCTTCCTGTCACAGAGGAGTTCATCATAAAGCTGTTATCACTTTCTGTTCTTATTGACAGAAAGCAACAAACTTGAACAAGAAGCAACAGCTGAGCAAAAGTCAGTTTCTGGTCAAGAAGAGTTACGGCAGCTCCCTGGCAACAGGAGCTGTCTGGCACACAAGTCTAAAGGCTCTATGATTAAAACAGGATTGAGGGGATAGCATCATGAAAATAATCTGTCATATCAGCTACCGTATCAACAGCAGAAAAACTGCATTTTTATTTTGGCAGAAAGGGCAGACATACAATCCAAATTTGCAATGCCTCCGCTAGAAATTCACTGCCACTTCTATCATGTAAACAGTACTGCACAGAACACCCAAAAGTTGCATACTTCTCCTTTTTGTTTGGTTGGTTTGAAGGGAGATTTTTTTGCTTGTAACATTTTTCTTATACAAGTCACAACTGAAATCAAACAAAGTGTACAAAACTGAAATTACCGTAATATTGCAGAGATTTATATATCCCGACTGTCAACCAAATAACCTAAATCTTTTCTAGACATGTGCATAGATCTAGTTTTCAAATAAAGTCTTGTGCTCACTTTAGAAAGGACACAGTGGGATTCTTAATATTTTGTTCAGAGGAATGATGAAGTGCAAATGAAGTAGAAGTATTATAAAACAAAAGGCAAAAAAACCCCCATTGACTGCCTTTAAAAGAATGCAAACATGATGTGCATGAATTTCAAGTATGTCACAATTTTAAAACCAGGCAAAAACACATAATTTTATTCTAAAACCCCTGTAATTTAAACTTACACAGCACTCATACTTAAGACAGTTGAGAATTAGCAGAACATGCACGTTAATACCATTACAGGTAAGGCTAAGTCAGAAGGGCTGGCCTTAAACATAGAATTTGTTGTAATGCAAATTTGCTACATTAGTAAATACTGTAAGTTGAATGGCAAGTAAAAAACAGAGTGGGGAAAAAAAAAAGCCATGCAGGATCACTTTGATTTGCATTTGGGAAAATATTTGAAGTAGAGGGTAGGCTGGTACCTGCAAAATATCTGTAAAATGTGATATTTGCTCTAGATGAAAAGACTTCACTGAATAGCTTGAAATGTCAGAACTGACTCTGAAGAAATCTGAATGTGGAGGTCAGATACAGGAAAAAACTTGCCATAGCTTCAGGATACATCTGCGACATTTTTTAGGTACCACTACTATGTATTCCTGTTATAGAGCTGTGTTAAACAAAAAACACTTGTACAACTGGATATGTTTGAGTTTTATTCTTCTCCAAAGTATGAGCCATAGTTTGAATTACTATGAGATTTAAAAACTAAATCTAATTATATTATATTATTATAACCAAATCTAAAGCTAATTATCTTAAGCTGATATACTCCAGACTATTCTCTCATTGGCCCTAGGAGCTGCCATTGCAGGGCACCATAGTCTACAGAGATGATGGAGAAAGTTCTGGCATTACCCAGAATGAGCAGCTTAAGAAACAGGTAGAGAGGCTGAAAACTGTGACAGTGACCACAGCAGGTAACTCATGAGGTTCCCTCATACACTACAGAAAGGAGAAAGTGATATCCTGATACACACTGTACGCTGCAAAGAAAGTCTAATGCTTCCTGGTTGCAGTTTTTACTTAGTTTCAGTCATATTTCAGAGCTAAAGACAAAGAATTATAATAGATTACACTTCATGTGATGTTTCACTCTCTCCTTTGTCATATAAACTTGGTTTTGGAGAAATCGTTGAGCCCTCTACATCAATAATACTGATTTGTGTGATTGAAGATGGCAGAAACACAGTATAGTAATAAATACTGTGGGATGTAGTCAACAAAAAAACCCTTAATTTTTCTACAGAAAGTATTGGAAGAAGTATAAATAATTTTATTAGGAACTTTAAGAGGTAAGAAATGTGAGACATAACTCATAAACAGATATTATTCAGGTAACTGGTAACTTACTTGACCTGTGTAGAATTATTTTACATATTTAATCTGTCTGTGTTTTAGTTATTTCTTCAACTTATTAGTTGAACTTATTATTATACTTCCTTTACATCAAACAAGGTGCAATTTCTCTTCCTTTACTGAACTTACTACTGCAATTAAAGTTCAGAGGAATCCTAGAGGAATCCTACTTAAAATCAAAAATATAAATCTTTTTCACAAAGAAATATAATTCTCTTTTTAATCTCCCAAGACAAAAAGCCCAGTATTTTTTCAGTATGACATGCATAAGGAATTGCAGTCGTACAACTTCCTGGTATCCCTGCACAAATATGAGCACGATAAGATTATAACTGAGTGAAGATTATGAGTGACTTATTACTGTTTCTTAATTTGTCAGTCCTCTTGTATTTAGCACATTGTTTACTTAAAATAAATGTACTCCAATTAAAATACTATTCTAGTTATAATATTATAAAATATTTTAACTTATCTTACTTCTCTTTTTGCAAGTGGTCGAATGAGTCACCCTACCTGGGTTTTCTTTCACTTGCAACTTCACTCTGCCATATGCAAAGAAAAGAAAAAGCAAGCTAAGTTTTTACTTAAAAAAAGACTTATTGTGCAAAGGGAGTGCACTCATTCAAGCAAACATACAGTTTTAGTGGTTAATACAGTACTGATATGGCCTTGGTAATTACTTCCTTTAGAATTATGAAATAAAGGTATTTATCTGTCTGTTATGAATGCCTTCTCCCTAATCAAGGATAAGTGCAAAACTAACCCCTAAAAAATTCAAATTTGTTATCAAAAGTTGATACAAGATGTAAAACCAATGGAGTAACAGTTGATTAGAAAAACTGAAAACAAGAATCAAGTCAAGTGTGTATATGATGTACACAAAAATAAAAATCAAACCAGAAAAACAAAAAAAAAAACCTCCAAAAAATTACTTTGAAACAGTAATCTTGAGTGAAGTACGTGTCCAGGAATGCATCAAAGGAAAATATGCCATTTAAATGACATATTTTATCTGCTACCTAATTTACTGAAGAGTCCAGACAATGTACCACTATTCACACATCAGGACTTTTTATGATGTGTTGCTGTGACGACAGACAGATACAGGATACAGGAGTTTAGGATCCCTCCTCCTTCACCCTCCCACAGGAAATGTACATGTCAGTCCCACTGCCTCACTAAACATCCAAAACTATCAACCACATGGCTTGGTTCAGAACTACATATGTGCTGCTGCCTGTTATGTCACCACTGTTTTCTCTCCCAAATTACAAAGCCTTCAGCTGACAAGCACGGAAGGAAACAGATTCCACAAATCCTACGGAAACCTTTGCCAGTGACTCTGCACACAGATACTTACTGGAGTCAGGGGGAAAACAGTACCACTGAAGAATGACAATTAGCACAGTACTTTAAGCGCTGTTTCTCACAGATAACTTGACAATTTAACGCCATTAAAACACTGTAGAGTGTGTGGGTGTCCTAAACAGCAGTGTAGTACTTTGTGTCATGACCTGAATTCTGCTTCAGGTAACTTACTCACCAAAATTTACCCTGTAAAAATTAGACATTCATAATCCTAACATTCTGTCAAGAATATTTTCCCAGATGTCAAAACTTTTACTTGAGAGGGAGATTAAATATATCACAAATATATCAGTTTAGGCAATGTTGCAATGTATCTATGGCCTAGATACTGAATGCAGAAGTAAAAATCAGAGCACCCCAGAGCTTTCAAGCATGAAAACCTCCTCTAGCACTATAAAAGAAAATCATAAACCAATACTTTAAAATATGCATTTTATAAATAAATTAACATGCAAATGTTGATTTTTGCAAAACTCAAGCAATATTTTCCTTCATCTCAAATCACCTCCTTTCAGAATTTCCTAAGGGAAAGGGAAAGTAACTTACTTGCAAATATCATCTTCTGGGTCCTCAAGCCCAAATCTTTCATCGAAAGTAAGTTGTATCCACACGTTTTCATCAAGTGCCACTAATCTCCACACTAGCACAGTGTTGCGTGGGTATGTGTGTGGAAACTTGGGGCTGTGAATACTCCCATTAGTAGTCACAGTAATTATCTTCTCATGGTGAGGGTCCTGCACACCTACAGGAAGGACAGAAAAGAGAGGCATCAATACTCACTCCTCCTTTTCCCAGAGTGTTGGTATAGTATACACAGATAAAGAAGCTTTTGTTTTGTTTGCTTTTCTTCATCTGGCAAGAATTTCTGCTTGAAAAGCCAATATAATAACAGTAAAAATAAAGTTTTTCTGAAACCTGTATACTGTCAGATTGATATTTTACTCAGTAAATTACAGGAATTCTCAGAGGTAGCTATTAATAAATTTTGTAACAAGGTGGTAGCTTTATAATGGAGGTTTTATGTTACTTTCTTTTCAGCTATTAATTGTTTTTTTCAGGTAGATATTTTACCTTCTTTTTCTGACTTTATAAGCAGCATTCTGATGAACATTCATTTGAATTTATCAAAGACATACATCAGTCTACTATGAAAATACACACTACAACTGCACTTTAATATAGCCACATATAAAGGTCAACATCTAAATGAATGTAGTGCAAGAAAAGAAGGCCACAGACACTGCACTGGTATTTTAAAAGAATCAATCTATATTTAAATATAATTTAAAGTCTGACAAACTTTTGCCTTCTCTTCTTCTGGACTTGTGCCTTCAACTTGCAGTATGAAAATGGTAAATGTTCTTTTAAGTAGAATGGCTGCTTATATCAAACTAATGGAGTGTGGTCTTGCCAACATCCACACACACTTGCAAAGGACTGACTGCAGTAAGAGAGGACAGCATGCAGTAATAAGAAAAAAAGGCACAAAACCAGAATTCCTAATTTAGATACTTCATTGGGTTTTTGTTAGCTGAGTCACAAACATTTTTCTATAATGTACAGTCTGTCAGCTGAGAGCTGCATGCTAAACACGGGAGCCAAAAAAAATACAAATTACTTTCCCAGAGATTAGTGCACCAGAGTGTTATTTCCAAAGCATTCAAAGGACCACCATTTCAGATAAATATGTCAAAGTGTGGTATCTGATGACACTATATTTAGTGGTATGTTTTGTCTTTAAAAACACTAAAAGGATTATGAACCATGATGTATTTCACAACATATTAAAAAATGCTTTCTTTTGCATCATCAGGGCACTGATAATAGTAGCACTACAAGTGCTATGTAAACAGACCAGGCATATCAAATGAGAAGTCAATAAAAAGGGGAAAGGAATGAACTCACTACTTATTTACTGAACTGCATCTCCTGTACCTTCAAGTTCCCCCATTTTTAATGGAAAAATATCTATTTGCTTTACCTACAACAGTGTTACATGAACATATCAAATTCCCACACAGACCACTCGCTCCATTTCAAATATTTGCTTTCGCACAGTGGAATTTCATCTCTAACAAAAGAATTATTTTGTATGACTACAAAGGCAAGTTATGGCTGTCATTGGAGAACGAAGATTGTTATTTCTCTTCAGAAAAGCTGCAATATTCCTTTTTATCTGTTCTACAGAATTTCTACCAGTGTACCTCAAAATTCTAGCCTTTTTCTACTGAGCTCATGCATGGTCTGAAAATTGCTTTTTTTGAGTGACTGTGTGAAAACCACAGCTACCTGTGAACGGCTAAGATGAGACCATGGTTTCTGTTCTTTGTGAAATGACTTTGCAATTCCTGGCTTGATTTTAGGTATAAATGAGTATAAAAAGTTACACTAAAAAGGCAGTAACAAACTCACTCAGATTTACAGCAGTCATCTGCAGAACTCCAAATCTATATATATATAGCTGCTGTGGGCTGTCTTTCTATGAACAACCATCCGCCCTACCCTCATCCTGATGTCCCTCCACTGTCCAAAAAAAAAAAAAAAACCACCAAAAAGGGAAAAAATAGAAAAAAATATTACTGTGCAAACTGCTTTGAAAAACTCTGAAGCATCAGTTTAGGCAACAACTGAGGTAGACAAGGTACCACCTCAGCCAGGACACAACTAGGAAAATGGGGACAGACAAGGACCAAAAACATGTATTTGCATCTTCAGTAAAAAGCTTCAACAGCTGAAGAGCAACTGAGATCATCTTCAGGAGAAAGTCCTGGAAATGAGTCAAACTAGACAGGAAAAATCCCTCAGCTGACCTAGAGATATGACACGGTTACACTTATTAGGAAAGGACGGCACACGCTTAACATAGCCTGAAGTTGAAGAATGAGTGGCCGCGGTCGTCTTTGATGTGGTACAAGATGCTATCACCAGATTTATATATCCTTCAGTGCAGAAAGTCTGCCCCTGAAAATTACAAGATTCCAGGCATTCTGAAAGCACAGCAGTGCCTAACCCTTCCACTGATGTAGTAAAGCAGATGAAAAACCACAGTATCACCAAACAGATCAGTAGATGCCACTGTAAACTGAAATTAAACCCACCGACTAGACAAGCTCATTCCTGCCTACTTCAAAGTAAGTCTCTTCCCCCATGGGCACAACACATTTCACAAAGATCAGCGCTGACACTTTTTAAATATAGCAAATACCTCTTTCTTAGTACATTGAAATCCCTACATTTTAGCAAGGGTCGTGGCTAAAACTCGGACAAATTGCATGCAGTTCAGGAGACAGAAGAGGAACTGCAGAAGAAGAGAGGAGCACCACGGGTGGAATGACGACCTCAGCACTGATTCACTTAAAAGGTCACACAGTACCGGAAAAATTAGTTTTTAAATCCTTTTGCTAAAACTACACTTTTTCCACAACAGGACAACAATACTGCTAATCATGCAGTCTTAATATATATTATCTGGTTAATTTCATCTGATAGCCCTAAATTATGAAAAACAACTTTTAGGCCTTCAGAAAGAATATTAGCTAATGTGTGGCTATCACTGCTTCAAAAAAAATAAAGCCAAATCCAAAGATAAAAGAAGTCTGAACTCCAAATATTTACCAATAAACAGAAATTTTTCAGACATACAGCAGTGTTGCGGTTTGTGAATTTTCTGTTTTAAAACTGAAAAAACAAAAGATGCCAGTAACTACTTGGTCATTACCATAGAACTTGAGAGGCAAACAGGGTTTTTTGATTAATTGAAAGGATTTCCAGACACCATTCCCATATAATTTTTACAATGAACCCATCTGTACAGACACCAAGACTTTGTAAAATAAATTATTTGAAATGTAACATAACATGCTATTTCTTCCTCTTTCACCAGACTTTCAAGAAGCAGTAAGCCTGCATTCAAAAGCATACTCAAGCCATACAGGAGTACCTCTTTCTGTCCTGTCTCTTTTTCAGTTGCCTCCAGGCACTCTTAGCTATTATCTGAATACAACAGTCCAAAGAAGTTTAACCCTTTTTGCCAGGCACAGAAGAAAAACTGGAAAATCATCTGTTATTGGCAGAAAATTGAAGACAAATAACTCTGTTCTACATTGTTTGCACATAAAATGAAGAAATATCATGGCAAAGTCACTCAAAGTCACACAAACACTGCAATGCAGAGACCTCTGGAGACCTCCAGACCCAGCTCCTGCTTAGGTTACAGTTCTGCTCACACCAGAGCAGCACAGTCACTGGAGGGTTGGCATTGTCTAGACAATGCTCAAAGCCCCTCACAGATGGAAACTCCACAGGGCCTTGGGACAGCTTGCTCTCTTGCTGCACCACTTCTCTAGGTAAGGTGTTTATTCCCAGTATTAAATTTGATCCCCACAAGCTGCAATTTTTAGCCATAATTATTTTGTTGTCTTTGTGAGGCTTGTTTATTTTTTTGGGGGGAAGGGGGGTTTGTTTTTGAGTTTTGGGGATTTCATTGTTGTTGTTTTGAGGGCTGTTTTGGTTTCTTGTTTGAGTTTGTTTGTGGTTTGTGTTTGTTTGTTTGTGGTTTTTGTTTTCAGGATTTGTTCTGGTGTTATACTCTGTACCTTCTAACAGGAAGAGTTTAACCATTGTCCATCCCTTGTAACTGCTCTTCAGGCAATTGAAGGCCTTTTTTGACCACCTCACATGATTCTCTTCCTCAGACAAAACAAGCCCAGACTCCTCGCTGTCCATCACGACCTGCTACCAGCTAGCTGAGCCTTCAAGCCTGGCCATCCAGCCCATTTTCAGCCTAACTAAGCAAGCAGTCTGTTCTTCCCAAACTTTTGCCTCAAATCACACAAGAAATGTTTTTGAAGCTCATAGAGTTTGCTTTCACCATCTACTTTTCTAGTACTAAGAAAAGGAAAACTTAATACTGACTTTCTCTATTTCCTAAGAGAGCTTCCCTAAGCAGTACAGTCTGCAGCTTTTCTGGGATACATTTCTTGAGACAGATCTTCTGTGGATTTTCCATTTTCAGTTGCTTCTATGATACAGCTACCTATTTTAAGTCTTGACATGATTCTTCAAGTATTAGCACGAAATTAGAGAGATGAGCACTACCCATAGTGCACACACAATATACACATGTGAGCTGTCAATATAACAGCACAAAAATTCAACCTCTAACTAGAAATCTGCTAATTTGCATAGTTACATATTAACCCAAATTAGAAAATGTAAGAAATACAATTTATAAAGTATCATATGGATATAAAGTAACAAAGTGGGAACACCTAGGATAAATATTATGTTTTGTTCACATTACTCCTCCCTCTGACACATACTTAACTCACACACTTGGAAAGACATGTGAAAAAATTCTAGTTCACAAAAGCTCAAGATGAACGTATAGAAGAACTCTATTTGTTGGTTTTTTTTTCATTCCTACAATTTAACCTATTCCTTTTTACTTCAGTTACTGTTTTGGCTTCAACCTTGTACTGTTACCTTAGGCATGAATATTATACACTATTTGACTGCAGCCTAAAGGTCTTTCTGCCTTTCACATTATGTTTAAGAGGAACACAGAGGAAGTGAGCAAAGAAGAAAAAGTTTTCTAATAGATCTTCAGGAACCCTGAGTTTTGGCAGCTGGCCCAATGAGGAAGGACAAAAAGAAGGAAAAGAAAGGGAGGACAGAGGGGTGGAAGGGGCAAGACATCAATGGGCGACAGCATGGAACTGCAGTAACAAATATAATAAAGTT